GAGGCCTGATCTTGGCCTTGAATGATGGATAGAGTTCAGAAAGGATGAGGGAAATTGTTTCAAGCAAGGATAATATTTATCATCAAAGGCAGATGCGGTGTAGTAAATTACCTGGTATGGCTTTTCTAGCCATAAGTCTTTGTAAACTCTGTGGTGGAATTTGCTGTGAGCAACTGAGGATCTCCTGATTGTAAAAATTATCCACCTGGGGTATTCTGTTGGGCACAACACAAAGCAATGTTCTGGGAGGTTCCCGCTCTCTCTCAGGTGCTTAGAATTCTGATGCTATGATTGGTTGGTTTGGCCACTCTGCCGGGCTAAAAAGGAGGCCTCCTAGAGGCAGAAGTCTTTCTCTGACTTCTGGGTGAGGAAGACGTGTTGCTGAGAAAGAGACACTGAGAGACGTGCACTGCTGAGAAAGAGACAACGAGAGACACATGCTGCTGAGAAAGAGGCACCGAGAGTCACGCTTTGCTGGGAGAGAGATTGAACATTGTTCCTGAACTTGAATTGTAGCCTGTTGCTTCCCTAATAAACCCCATAGTCTGTGACTTCTGTATGGCCACTGCAGTGAATTATTGAACCTGGCAGATAGGCTTTGGGTGCTGCGGGAGGAACAGTTGGTGTAAGGGCTGGAGGAAGGCAGCATGTCTGGCCTCACAGGAATGGGCTTTGGGCTATTGATGGTGCTCCTGTCTTCCTTTGTGGGGTTAGAGGAGGTCAGAAGACGTGGCCTTCTTGCCCTTTTTGCAGCAGAGAATTGGGAATAACTATGGTATCCATCCATATGCATGTGAAAGCTGGATAGTGCAAAAGTAAGACAGAAGCCTTGATGTGTTTGATCTGTGGTGTTGGTGAGGTATATTGAATATACCATGTGCTGCCAAAAGAATGAAGAAATGCAACCAGAATGTCCCTTAGAAATGAGGATTGCCAGACTTGAACTTGCATCCTTTGGACACATGTCATCAGGAAAGACCAATTGCTAGGAAAGGACATGATGCTTAGTTAGTTAGGTGCCATTGAGTCATCTCTGACTCACAGTGGCCTCCTGTATAACAGGACTGAACGCTGCCTGGTCCTGTGCCATCCTCACAATTGTTGCTATGTTTGAGCCCATTGTTGTTGCAGCCACTGTGTCAATCCATCTTGTTGAGGTTCTTCCTCTTTTACACTGACCATCTACTTTGTCAAGTCTTTCTCTAGGCATTGGTCCCTCCCAGTAATATGTCCAAAGCAAAGCAGAGGACTAACAAAAACTAGGGAAACTCTCGGTGAGATGGGTTAACACAACAGCCAAGTCAATGGACTGAAACATAGCAACTATCATTAAGATGGTGCAGGGTGGGCAATATATCTCTTCTGCTCTACAGAAGTTCACCATGAGTCAGAGCCAACTCAACAGCAACCAACAACAACAACAACAATTGTATGCTCAGGGTAGTGTGTGGACATTGGCCTGGTTAGAACAGAGATGCGTGTTGATAATATCTGGGAAGTAAGATGGTTTAGGTGGGAAAGAGCCCAGATATGAAGAATACGGGAAATATATTGACTATAACTAACATCTGTGTTTCAGGTTCTGCTTCAAGTGCTTTATGTCCATAAAGTCCTTTAATCTTCACAACAAACCTATGGACTAATTACCATTTTTGTGTCTATTTTATAGGTGGGAAAGCTGAGACTTGGGGAAATTATCTTGCCAGAGGTCTCATGACTGGTAGATGTGAAGATGGGATCCAAACTCAGGCAGATACAGCTATAGAATCTGTGTGCTTAAAAGTTATGCCAAACTGCCTCCCTTTTCTCCAAAGACACAAAGGTAAAGAAATGGGTAAAAATCCACTCTAGGGGCCACATAATAGGGAGACATGAAAGCGAAAGCAGGAGTTGTGGTCTTGGAGATGGTGAGAAGATGCTGCTGGTCCAGAAGTGAGTGAGCCAGGAAGGAGAGTTGCATTTGGGAGAGAAGGAGATGGAGAACTCAGGGATGGAGCTCGACATTTGAGAATCGTGACCAGGAAAGCTTAGTGAGTGGCTGTTACATAGACTTTAGAATCAGGGAGACATGGGGTCAAGTACTTGCTTTGCCACTGCCAAGTTTCAACATCTGTACAATGGGTTTAACAATGGTACCAACCTCAGTGGTTAGGATTAAAACCAAAAAACCAAACCCACTGCTGTAGAGTCAGATCAGACTCATAGTGACCCCTCCCTGGGTTTCTGAGGCAGTATCACTACGGAAGTAGATCACCCCATCTTCCTTCCGAGGAGTGGCTGGTGGGTTTGAACTGCCAGCCTTTGGTTAGCAGTCAAATGCCTTAGGCACTATGCTACCAGAGCTCCTGTGGTTAGGATTACATGAGACAAAATCAGTAAACTTCATGGCACAGTGCTAGGCACAGAGGGTGGAGGCCTAGTGAACATGAATACAGTTCCCTTTGAATGACAAGAATTGGCAGGGATCTTAGCTATGACCTGGGAGGGATTAGATTTATATTTGAGTGATGCCAGCCAGCTGAGCCCACCAAGCAGTTCTCCGCATAGGCACTCCGAGGCCAGTTTTGTGGGGAGCAGACTAGAAGGTGCAAAGAGTCATTCCAGGGGTCAGGGGCCTGTCTCTCTCTGCCAGCCCTCTGGCCTTTGCAGAGGGTCTCTGTGCTTGGCCTCCAGAGCAGGTGTTCATTTAATTAAGCCCCTGGGATCTTTCTCTATGTCCTAGCTCAGCCCCCTTGATGCCATGGTTTTGACAAACTCCCAGGTCCCAAGATGCTGGCTGCCGCTTCTTTCTGTTCACAGTATTCACCACCTATTTGCTTCAGCTCACAGATCTTTCCTTATTCAAGGGTGACAGGAGCAGCTGGGGGCAAGATTATTTGACATGATGACAGCCACAGAATTGCAGGGCACTGAATCGTATCATGAGAAGATTATTCCCTTCTGCTTTCTCTTTGGATCCTTCTGATTAAGCCAAGGGTACCCTCTTCTTTGGAGCTCAAATATCTTTAACACCTCTCTAACACTTTGGGCAATCTACTTCCATAGTGATACCACCTTGGAAACCCAAGGAGGCATCGTTATGAGTCGGGACCGACTCGATGGCACATAACAACAACAACAACACTTTGGTAATATCCTTTTTCAGAAAAAGCAGGTGGCCAGTCCAAGATAGGCAATGGTTAGAATGTAGTGTAACTGTTTTGTTTATATTCTATTTCTTTTTGTAGGAAAGTAATACCAGTTTTCTTTTAACAGTGGTGATATAAAGTTTCCTTGTAAAATATATTTACTGAAGTAAAAAGTGAGTCCATTAATTTAAAGAGAAAACATTTGGTGAATAATGGTCCGTGTGGCACGTGGATATGAAAAACTTCACACTTGCTGTACTCGAATGACTGATGTTTGGAAAACGCCAGAATAGTGGGGAAGCCACTCAGTTTGGGAAGCAGAAGGCTTGGGTGTTGATGCTGGCTCTGCTTGTTAGCAGCCTAACAAACACACTTACTCTCTTTGAGCCTCATTATCTCCATCTGCCAAATGGGAATAATAATTCTTACTACACGTGGTCATTTTGAGGATGAATTGAGATTATTTGATGTATGAGATTATTACAGATGAAATGAATTGCCACTAGTCTGCACTTGACTATAAAATTCACTGTATTGAGTGTGGAAAGTTACTGGTTTCCCAGGACTTCCATCCCATAAGCAAAAAACCAAAGTCATTGCTGTCGAGTCAATTTCAACTCATAATGACCCCTTAAGACAGAGTAGAAGGGCCTCATTTGAAAGGCTGTGATCTTGATGGAAGCAGAGTGCCGTGTCTTTCTCCCTCACAGCAGCGAGTGGTTTGAACCACCAACCTTCCAGTAAGCAGCTGAGCACTTAACCGCCCCATGGTGGGAAGACAGTGTGAGCGAGTCACGTCCCCTCTCTTCCCCCAGTTTTCTCACCAGCACAATGAGAATATTAACCACTTCTTCTTCATGGGCTTCCTGGGAGGATTAAGTGAATTAGAATGTGTGTGACCCTAGAATGCAGCCTGGCACATAGCAGCATTACAAAGTGTTAGCTCTTATGATCATAACTCTGTGCCCCCTCCTGAGGTGCTGGAGCCCTAAGTGGAAAAGCTCTTTGGAGGTGTGAAGTGCTGAGCATGTGCCAGAAACACTCATGAAAGTAAATGTTAGGTAACAGGGGTGACATCTAATTCTCATGTTCCTGCCAGAGCCTTCAGACCCCAATGCAACCAAAAAACCAAAAACCAGGAGCTCTGGTGGCGTAGTGCCTGAGGCATTTGACTGTTAACCAGAAGGGTGAGTAGATTCATATACACACACACACATACAACAACAACAAATATATATATACACACACAACAACAAATATATATATATATGATTCACACACACACATATATAAAACCAAACCAAACTCAATCCCCATTGGGTTCTGAGATGGTAAATCTTTATAGAAGTAGATTGCCCATCTTTCTTTCACAGAGCAGCTGGTGGGTTTGAACTGCCAACCTTCTGGTTAGCAGTCAGAAGCCTTAGGCATTATGCCACCAGAGCTCTCTCTCTCTCTATATATGAAGTGTACACACTTATACACACATAGTTTACAGTGTGCTAATCCTTTTACATGTGATATTTATTTAAACTTCACAACTCTGTGGAGGTGAGTATCACTATCATGTTCCATTTTATAGATAAGGAGGCTGAGGCTTATAGGTTAGGTGACTTGCCAAGCCCCAGGGCTACTGAGTGCCACAGCCAGATTCTGGACACCAGCTGGCCTCCAGGGATTCGGGTGGAGGAACATACTGACTCTGACCTTTGTGAGGAGCACATTGCTGGTCCCACTAGGAACCCCTCCTACTGGCAGAGTGTGGCCAAGCCAAGCTTCATTTCCAGGAGAGAGATGAGTCAGTTCAATGGCAAGGGAGTGAGTCTGTGTGTGAAATACCTGGAAGAAACCAAACACGCCCAGCTCAGTTGGTTACAACAAGGCAAAACCTTTAATAACATAAGTGCTTATTACATTAGCTGCTTTGGGGCTCTGACATCTTTGATTTCTGGTCATGTTTTTCTAACATGTAAAGATGGATGCCTCCCTCAGGGCCACCTGGGTGGTCGGTTTCCTGAGGATCTGTGTAGGTGGACTATGGGGACAACTATGACTCACCTGATGGGGATTCAGAAATCCCTCCCCTGGCCACCACCCATGACTCCTCCAAGCCGTCTTCCAAGGAGGGAAGAATGTGGACGTCCTCCCAGTAAAGAAGGAAGAAAAGAAAACGTGGTGCAGATACACAGAGAGAGGAATGACATTGTGGGGTGGGCTTGAAGAGTTAGAGAGGAATGGAGGGGCTAGGGCTTAGAGGGTGGGGGGCAAAGAGTGGGAGAAGGATGAGTCCATTTGGTTTCATTCTTTATAAAAAGTAATACCATCACTAGGACCATGCCATGCAACCTCAGAGACATCTCTGTACACTTCCGCCAAGGTTGTGCTGGGCACGGGGCAGAGATCAGAGGTCAGTTCAGACGGGCGTGGTGCGCCTGTTGGCCGGATTATTCTGCAGCGACTCTTTGAACTCTTTGGGAGTGGAGTTGTGGAACTGTAGGAAAGCATGGTCCCGGTCGGAATTGAGGAGGGTCCCCATGGTGATCTTGGAGGGGTCCCGGGAGAGGGTGAACATTGAGATGTCGGTGGAAGGGATGGTGTGGAAGCCTTTGCTGATGGGGGACAGGTCTCGGGACCTGGGTTCTGTGGAGCGGGAGCTTGACCGCCTCCGGAATCGATACCTATAGGGTGGAAGGCGGGCAAAAGTAGATTTCTTCAGGAGCTCTGAGTGGGATCTGGCACGCAACTGCTGATGTTTTTCAATATAGATGTGCACAGCAACCACTCCCACAATCTCCGCAATGATGAAAGAGAAGGCTCCAAAATAGAAGGACCAGCCATAGGAGTAGCTTTTTTTTGAGTCTCGCTGCCCAGGGTCTCCAGCATTAGCTGATATATAAACTATGATGCCGATGATGTTGCTTAACCCTAAGGGAACAGAAAAGAAGAACATATTGTTTATAAGCTTCAGAGGTGACTGTCACTTTCAGTCTTCAAATATTTATAGAAAATGGGAGGAAATGGGGAGAGAGGAGAATGGATCATGGCTGGGAAATCCAGTCCAGAGCTCTTCCTGCATAGTCCGCCTCTTGGGAAATGAAGACTTCAGCTATTCAGTCTCAGACAGTGTGCGTTCAGCTAGAGAATACTTCCTCCTCTTACGGTAAATGCAGCCAGAACACAGGATGCATTCATTTTCCCTAAGAAGTAATTAATTCCTTCAACATTTAATCTTTGGCTCCAAGTCTTGGGGATAGTAAACTCAACAAGACACAGGTCCTTGCCCTTGAGGTCCTCACCATTAGTAGGAGAAACTGACATGTACATGCAATTATAGCAAAATGCGGTGAGGGTTCTGTCGGCAAAAGGGGAGGAAAGACTAAGTCACCTTGCTTTATAGATGAGAGGACATTTGAACTGAGTCCTGAAAACTGAGTAAGGATGATCCAGGATGTGAGAGGCTATGAAGAGTCAGAGTGGGAATTAAGAATCTTGTACTAGGATTCTAGCTTGGATGATTGGGGAGTTGGTGGCATCTTGAAATGAAAGAAGAAGAGGTAGCAGAGAGACAAGTGTGGGTACATTGAGCTGATGGAAAGTCCAATGCAGCTGCCCAGTGGATGTATATGGGTCTGGACCTGCAGTTCGAGGAACTAATGAATCCATGGGGAAGGGACGGTGGCCTATTAAGTCTTTTTTTTTTTTTTTTTTATCTGCACAGGATAAGATATTGCTTTAAATCAGTTATTGTTTCAGAGTTAGGAATTGGGGAAAACAGAGCTGTTGTTCCCAGTGGTCAAGGGCTGCATACTTACCTTTCCCAAGCCAACAGAATTGTTGTTGTTGTTATTATGTGCCATCGAGTCAGACCTGACTCATAGTGACCCCTCCTTGGGTTTCCGAGACAGTATCGCTACGGAAGAAGATTGCCCAACCTTCCTTCCAAGGAGTGGCTGGTGGGTTTGAACCACCAACCTTCTGGTTAGCAGTCAAGTGCCTTGGCTGGTAGCAGAATAGTATTGGAAATAGTTGGTTAGCAAACTGGAGAGAAATTGATTCCCTGGAGAATGGTAACAAAGAACTAAAGAACCTGCAGGCCTAGGAGTGGTGCTCATCTATGGTCACTTTTCTCACATTATTGCTCCAAAGGGGAAAAATGTCCCTGTAGGTCCCTTTGCTCCAAGAGTCTCAGCAAGAGCTTTGTGCCAACAATGACTCATGGACGTTGATATACCAGCTGACATAGCCTTGACTCCAAATTTAGGCCCCCTGTTTTGTTTGTTTGTGAGGTGCCATCACCCTGGTTCCAACCAATAGCGACCCTACGTACAACAGAATAAAACACTACCTGGTCCTGTGCTATCCTCACAATCATTGCTATGTTTGAACCTATTGTTGCAGCCACTGTGTCAATCCATCTTGTTGACGGTCTTCTTTCACGCTGACTCTCTACCAAGTGGGGTAGTTAAGGTTATATGTCAACTTGGCTGGGCCTAGTTTTGAGGGCCTGGACAGCTAGTGGTAGTTATTCCCCAAGAAAAACTGGCAGTCAACTCCATGGTGGAATCTGCCATGAGCAGCTGAGTAGCTGCTTTAGGGATGTGATGTGCTTCCCGTATCTAAGGAGAAGCTTTGGGAATGGTCTCCAACTTTTGGCACACTTGAATCCTGCATGTAGCTGAGTCTTTATTCAGCAGCCTGCCATGTTGTCTGCCGATCTGGGCACTCTTAATGGACTTGATTCAATGGCTTGCTGTGTGGTTTGATGATAACAGGACTGACTTTTTACTTGTCACCCTTGGGTTTATCAGCCTCAGCAGCCAGTAGCTGCCTGAGTGAAAAAAGCCTCCAGCTTCACTGGGCCAGGAGCAAAAGGCAGAGCTGAAGCTCAAGGTCAAGGGGCTATCATCCAGCCCCTAGAGCCTGGCATTTTGAACTCGGATCTCTATCCTCCTAAACTGTAAAAGAATAAACTCCTGTTTGTTAAAGCCATCCCATTTGTGGTATTTCCTGTTAGAGCAGCAT